GATTTCCAATGACCATGTTTCAGCAGAAAGAAACCAACACTCCTGACCACTATCCCTCCAAAACTTCAGCCAGTCCATTTTTCCAAAGGGCTAGATTCTGCTTTTCATAGCACACTGAACAGTGATGGCCTAGAGGGAACATATCCCCTCAAGGACTATTCACAGAGCTGTGCAGACACGCTCTTCGGGCGTGAGAGCCCATAAAAAGGCTCAGCGGTGCAGCCCACCCTGCAGCTTAGTCATCAGCAAACCTGGGGACCACGCCCTGCATAACTGGGAAGAGGGCGAGGAAACCAGCCTCTGTTAGGCCCCTGCCATATGCCAGGCAGTAGAATGCGAACTTTGCACACAAGTTGTTTAACTGAACTGTTAACACTATACAGATGTCACTATACAGATAAGAAAACCGAGGCTCCTAGGGTAGGTTACCTGCCCAGTCATCCTGGGGACAAGCGATAGCGCTGGGACACAGACCCACGTCTGTTCGTCTCAAAGTGCAGGCTCTCTCCTCTTCTACTGGCTTAAAGACCCCAGGCCCTCGTGTCACCGGGACCTAACCACCCGATGACCACTTACTGTATGTGCTTTCCTTTATGGCAAATTCCTTGAGTGGGGCTCCAAATTCACAGGGCAGGCGAAGGGAGAGGACTTTCTTCTGCATTTTGGTGGATTTACGAACCAGGAAGATCTAGGGGAGGGAAAAAAAATTCAAGCTTAGGAAACATCTCAAAGGCTGGGACCTGGGCATGTGATTACCTGCACACCCAGCATCCATGAGTGGAGCCCCTCTTGTAGCCGAACTACACGGCTTAAGGCAGAACACTACTGCCATGGAAAGGGGTGATGAGCAGGCAGGCCACAGATGCCCTTCTTTGGTAACTGGCCTCAGGAGAATCCCACTTTCCCTTTGCCAGAACCTTCTCCATGAGGCTAAGTCTGCAAAAGCACTTTCAGTCTGGTGACTGCCTTATAGCTCACGGTACATATTCTCTAGCCTGTGTCTGATAAAGGCATCCTGGTTGACGAACCCTAAATTTCTAGACACAGGTAACATGGCTAAGCCATAGGTGGTGAATTAGAAGTTCTTTGGCTAATTTGGCTTATGGGTGTATTTAAGATAGACATCTGAATTTGTTGCCAACGGTGAAAAAGCACAAGGGTTTTGTGTTTCACGTTAAAATCCGAATGTCTAGCTTCTCTTGGAGAATGGGATGATAAGGCAAGACCAGGCATGGCCACATCTGCTGGAGCTGAAAATGGCAACTTCCCTTGGGAGACAGGTAGCTGGGCTCTGAGGTTTGCCACAGCCAACACTGAGGTGGCGGTCCTAACTTTACTCCTGACTCGCTTCACTTTGTGACAGCTCCCTCCAGTTCCAAATAATGTCTTTAGATGTATGTTTTTTAAAATTTTTTTTTTGCTGTACGCGGGCCTCTCACTGTTGTGGCCTCTCCCGTTGTGGAGCACAGGCTCCGGACGCGTAGGCTCAGCAGCCATGGCTCACAGGCCCAGCCGCTCCGCGGCATGTGGGATCTTCCTGGACCGGGGCATGAACCCGCGTCCCCTGCATCAGCAGGCGGATTCCCAACCACTGCGCCACCAGGGAAGCCCTAGATGTATGTTTAAACCCACCCAGCTCCCGGTGCTGATCTCAGGAGACCATCCTAGCCTCTGTCACTGCAGAGGTAAGTATGCCGCATACTGCTGTGCAGGCCATGCACTGCACAACTCCAGGGGGCGCCATCTACTTAGACAACAAATCAAATGGCACTCCTTGGAGTTTGCAGTGTGGTGATCTGCTGTGTCCTTGTTCCCTCCTGGGGTACATGAGCCTTCTCCAAGGATCCCATCCTGTCCTGTTTCTTTACCTACGTCTCTTTCCTCTGCATTTGGATACCTACTCTCTCCTGCTTTTCTACAGCCTTTTATTTTTTCCACCTAATCTTCATTTCTTTCTCGATGTCAAGTCAATAGCTCCTAAGATGATTTTTTGGGGAGGAGGGGTAATGGGAATTGGGTATCTGGTAAGGAGACAGGAAGATCTTAAGTTCCCTCTTTTTTCCCAGCACCCATAGGGAGGCAGCCAAAAACTTTGCCAGCTCTGGGAGTCAATGGCTCTGGGTCACCCTGAAGCTTAAGCAGGTGTTTCCTCAATGCTATTGGGTTGAGTAAAAGCCCCAAAGTACTGGTGGGAGGTAGCTGCTGGTTAGTGGAAAGAAGTGTCACTCCCTTAGGGAGGTGGGATTTCCTTGAGCCTTGGGGTCAGGGAGGGCACAACCTCTAAGCTGTATCTCCTGAACGTCTGAAACCTTAGGTCAACAGTTGGTAAAGCATGGCCTACAGACCAAATCCATCCTGCTGCTTGCTTTCACAAACACAGTGTTATTGACATACAACCTTGCTTCTTGGTTTACATACTGTCTATGGCTATGGCTGCCCTACGATGGCAGAGTTGAGTGGCTGTGACAGAGACTGTATGGGCTACAAAGCCCCAAATAGTGACACTCCGACTCTTTATAGAAACAGTTTGCCGGCCACTCTCTTAGGCTGTAGATGAATCAGGGATGGTGGCAGCCCAAGGACCAGATGCCACCCGAGCTGGTCCTTCAAATCTCTCTCCTTCACACACCTGCCCTTCCTTCTCTTCAGCAGCCTCACTTCTTCTGGTGAACCGTGGCCTCTCCGGTCCTCACCCCACCCTCAGCCTGCCCCACCCCGTCAGGCAGGTCCTGCCCAGGGCTCAGGTAGG